TAATGATATAAATAAGTCATATTAGTATTAATAAAATTGATTTGTCTAATATGATAGTGGAAGACTAATACTAAAGGGATTCATTAGTATCAATAATTACCTTCTAAAAAATATAAAAGTATTAATTAGTTATCCCGAAAAAATAAAATAAGATAATAATACCAATAAAGAAAAGCCTTGGTATCAAAGTAAGAATTGATTTATAAAGACATGATATTTAAAACCATCGATGAGATCTTCAATATGAAATTATTCTCAACAAATGAAATAGAATATTAAATGAATATTGATAATAAATGAAAAATATATATCATAAAAATGATTAATTCCTAATTTTATGTATCAAAAGAAATTCAATAAAAATTATTTTCAATCATTATTTGTTATCACCGTTTTATATTTATAAGTACATATTCATTTCTATATTTCTAATCCATCAAGGTCACATTATTGTCACATTAGATGCAAACTTAGATTAGTTACCTTTTGCTTTCAAATATGTAATTATTTGTAAATTAGAAAACCTATCTCCTAAAACTTAAAATGCAATATTAACCTATAAATTTGAACATATAACTTTACTGCTTGTAATTTTAATGCTTGTAATTTTAAGTACCTCTTTAACCATAATCTCTTTAACCATAATAATTAGAATACTTTGTTAGTTTTCACTTCTGGAACAATTTTAATAACTTACCCAAAAAATCATGGTGTCATGTATGATTACTTTTCTTAGAGCTAATACTCCTTTTCTTTCTTTATCTTGTTACAAGAGACAACAAAAATATATCAATGACCTACATAGATATACATAAATTATCCATGTATATTCCATTAAAGTAATAAACAAGTTTAAATAATAATACATTATTTACAACGGATTTTTTATTTAAAACATCAAAAAAATCTTCCAATGATAAGAATTTAGTCCACATTTCTTCTCTCATTCATATGCAATTGTTGGAACGCAAGATTATTAATGAAACAATAAAATAATTCAAAATAAAGAGTAACAATTCAAAATTAAAATTGTAATAGTTTTAAAGTTAAATTTTACTAGCAGTAACAATTTAAAATTAAGACATTAACAATCAAATATTATAGACTAACATATCAAAATTAGAAGATTATCAAGTTCAAAATTAAGATAGTAATAATTCAAATTTTTCTATCATGTTTTGTATTTGTCTTGTTGAATTTTGCCACTCAAATTTAATGCTTTTTTTTTTCAAAAGTTACGCTAGTTAAAGATCATTATTCAATTAATGTAGCTTAATTTTTATAATCTCTTCATGTTTTTTATTTTTTGCTGTTCCTTTCCTTCCTTTTCATTTCTCTAACAACGTTTACCATTGATCTAGTTTAGGGAATTTTAGGAATAACTTTTTTTTAGCTTAGTTTCCTTTTTTTTTCACCATTTTATAAGTTACTTTTGTTAGCTAGATTGTAAAGTCTTCCCTTTTTTATTCTATATAAATATTCTCCTTGCTTAATACATCAATGATTCTCATATATTTTCTTCACTACTTTTTAATTTTTACATTTTAAAAATTATTTTTCTTTTCAAGTCACTTGACCTCTTATTTAGCTTTTCTAAGTTGATCTTTCAATTTCTGATTTTCACATTTCAACTTATTCTTCTTGTTTAATGCTTCTATGATTTTCATGTATTCTCTTCATAACTTTTTAATTTCTGCATTTTAAAAATCATTTTTCTTTTTAAATATCTTAACCTCTTCTTCGGTCTTTTAGAGTTGATCTCTTAATTTTTACATTTCAATTCTCTTATCTTTTTTTCCTTCTCATCTCTATGTTTAGGAGAAAAAACACTTAGGCCACATTTCATCTTCCAACAACTCCACAACTTATTGAACACCCAACAACAAAATTTCTTTTTTTTACAGGCTCCTAGTATATAACTGAAAACTAAATGAATGGGTAGACAGTAACATTATTAATGATATAGCAACAGATGTAATGAAAAAGGTAAGTGATCAAATTGAGATCGTAACATATGAAATTGAGATGAACATTTAAAAGTCTGATCAGGTTGACATTTACAATCAAAAAATAAAAATTCAAAGCTCTGAAATTCTTGTATTTGTCTTTGAATGATTTTTTCCTTAATTTTGCTTCCAGATGCAGTAAATTTTATTCTACACACCATGATATTCTTTCTTCTTTAGTTAATTCAATGATTTTTATATGCTCGCAAAACCAATACTGCTCATTTGAATTTTCAATGTTATTAAATTATATTTAAACAAAAACAATTAAATAATTATTACATTTTTGTTTTTATTACCGGAATCATCATCACGCAACTAATTATTTTGGATGCCCCTTTTTCATTCAATAATTTTTTGAAAAATTTAAACATATACTCTATCTAGTTGTATTCTGCAATGCTCTTTATGTCTTTAACATATTTCAGGTATGTATATGCAAGATTGCTTCCATTGTTTTACAGGAAGAGGAACACAAGAATTTTAAAAACCAAAACTCTAAATATGTTACGAACATTTTCATTGGTGAGGTTTTTACTTTCTATATTTTTTACTCTTTTGAACGCATTATATATTTTTCTTTTTCAATCTTTCAACTTTTAGAAAGCACATTGTTTTAAAAACTATATTATTTCTCTTTCTTACAATCTTACATTTCTTGAAATCTATTTGCTTGTTTTTATCTCTTATTTCAAATATCAATTTGTTGTCCTATACATATATTTTCAACCTCTTTATTTTTTATAAATGTTTGTAATTTTTATAAATGTTTGTAAATCTAATATGTAATAACTTTATTTTTCTACACATATTCTTTGTCTACACTCCATTATGTATCAGTGTCCAGAATGATGTTTTAATGAGCTTATTTTTTAATTTTTCTGCAATGTTTACACTATCAAATTTCATGACTATCACAAAAAAATTTGATTTGAATTGTGAACTTTAACTTTCTGAACATATTTTACAAAATACAAAATTACATTTTTGTTTTGAATTTTACAAACTAAAATATAGATTGCAAAATATATTCTGAGGATAAAAATCCACAATTCAAATCAAACTTTTTTACAATAATCAGTGAGTTTGAGAGTACAAAAATCATAAAAAACTAAAACATAATCACATTAAAATACCATTCTGGATATTGATAGAAAGTATCTTTCAAAGAATTATAAACAAGAATATATGTCGAAAAATAACCTGATTACATATTAGATTTGCAAATATTCAAAAAAAATAAAAAGGTTTTCAGGATTAAAAACAAAAATAAAAAAATATATACAGAGGACATGAAATTGATATTTGAAATCAGAAATAAAAACAAGCAAATAGATCTTAAGAACCATAAGACTAAGACTGCAAGAATGAGAAAAAAATAGTTTTTCAAACAAATTGATTTCCAAAAGTAAAAATGTTTACATATATATATAAGATTGAGAAACATAAAAAGTAAAATACTCATAATAAAAATGTTCGAGACATTTGTAGAATTTTGGTTTTCAAAATTCTTGTCATTTTTCTTGCAAAACAACAAAAACAATCTTGCATTGACATACTTGAAATATGTTAAAAACATGAAAAGCATTATATAATATAACAACAAAAACAATCTTGCATTTTTTTTGTTTTGCTGAACATAAAGATAAAGAAAAAAAATAAAAACATTGAAATGCAAAAATCAACTTATAAAACCTAAAAAGAGGTTCAGATATTTTTTTAAATTTTTTTTTAAAATCTAGAAAACAATGAAGAGAATATATAAGAATCATGAAGCATTAAAGAAGAAGAATATATTGAAATGTAAAAATTAAAAGATCAACTTAAAAAGATTAAATAAAAGGTCAAGAGACTTAAAAAAATTCAAAATACAAATATTATAAAATAATGAAGAGAATATATTAGAATCATTAATATATTACCTAAGAAAAATACTTAAATAAAAGTAAAAAGAAAGAACTTCAAGACCGGCTAACAAAAATAACTTTTGAAATGGCAAAAAAAAAAAAAAGCAAGCTGAAAATGATTTATCCTTAGAAGTTCCTAATACAAGATCAAGATCAATAATAAACACAAGATCAAGATCAATAATAAACGTTGTTAGATAATTAACAATTAAAGAAATAAATAAGGAAAAAAACAGGAAGAAAAAAACAAATAATAAAAAATAATAAAGATGTCATAAAAACTAACCTACCATAATTAAATAATGATTTTTAAATAACAAAAATATTCAAGAAAAAGACATTGTATTTGATTAACAAAATTCAACATGATATGAATAAGACATGATAGTAAAATCTGAGCTTTTTTGATGTATAATATCTAACTTTTAAACTGTTGATTTAATTTGAAATTTACTCCTCATTTTGATTTGTTATTATCTATAACATCCCAACTTTTAAATTTTTAATGTCTTAATTTTAAATTATTAATTTTAATTTTGAACTATTATTGCGAATAATATTTTACTTTTAAACTATTACAATTTTAATTTTAAACTATTACTTTTTTAATTTTAAGTTATCACTAACTATAACATCTAACTTTTAAAATGTTACTCTTTTAATTTTAAACTATTTAATTTTAAAATGTTTATTGTTTTATTAATAATATTACGTTAGAGCGATTGTATATGGATGAAAAAAAAAATATAAAAAATATTCTGTCATTGAAAAATCCTTTCGATGTTCTAAATAAAAAATCAATGATAAATAATATAAGTATATCACTAATTAAATCTGTTTATTACTTCAATTAAATACGCATGAATAATTTATATATATTTATATAAGTCATTGATATATTTTGTTATTCCTATTAAAAGATAAAGAAAAAAAATTGAATACACATGAATAATTTACATATACTTATGACTATCATCGATATATTTTGTTATTCCTATTAAAATATAAAGAAAAAAAATATCACCTTGAAAAAAATAATCAATCATTAAATCATAAATTATTGTAGTAGCAAGGGTTGTTTCTCTCTTCAAGACTTGGTTTCATTCACAAACAAACAAAAAGAATTTCCAATAAGATTTGAATATTGAATCCAATTTTGCGACACACAAGGAAAACTTCAATTGCTACACACCTTGCATTGTTCCTTTATATAAAAGCATTAGTCTCGCCCATTGCATAGATGCTCTCTATCAGCTCCAGCGCTAGACCACAGTTAATAAGAATGAATAAGCCCTTTATAACAATGACTAGAGGTGGAGAATTTATTCAAATGAAAAACCATGGCGTTGAAACTAAAATTAATATTCCATGCACTTAAAAGAGAGATATGTTAGTTCTGGCATAGATCATCAAGCATGCTTGGCTAGTAAAACTACAAGACAATAAATCGAGAGATTTTCTCACCACTGCTATACCTAACTACGAACATCAACTCCAGGAAGAGATTGCAGGAATTCATCAACATCAACTCCAGGAAGAGATCGCCTGCATCGCGGTCCTGAATAGTACAAAAAATAAGTTGGCTAAGTGATACCATCAGAACCGGATATCAGGTTGAATGCCGATAACTGCATGCAACACAACCATGTGTTTACTTCAAGTTTTCCAAGGATATATGTACCCCTTATCTCAAGAAGTTCACGAATGGTAATTGCCAAGTGACAACAAACATACTTGTGCCAGAGGTGATATGCAAGGACTAATGCCTCCTTCACGCTCCATTTGAACCACAGTGCATGCTATTCTCAGCTCCCACACATATGGCAGCAAGCAGAAAAATCAGTAGGAAAACTTATTGGTTAACATACTGTTAAATTAAATCAAAATATAAAATAGAAGAAGAGACAACTTGAAGATCTCTCCAACCAAAATAGCTGCTAAAAATAGGCCATCCGGCTTCAATGCTAGTTTACACTGTCACGAAAACCAATGAAATGGACAAGTGTCATAGACATGACCACATCAGGATTTCAAACAAAATGACAAGTAGAGAGATTTCATGACAATAACAACCAAACACAGCTAAAAATAGAAGAGAAATAAGGTTTACACGTCTACTGCTCTGTGTGTGGGGTTGTTGTAGACATCCAGTGTACTTTCATTAACAGTGTCAAATTATTTGCTGATGGAAGTACAGCTTTGGTCTCATTTTACAGTCTTATATCTTGATTTATCAAAAGATTATTCTCGTATGCTTCAGGCTAAAAAAAAAAGGTTTTGGTGTTATAATTAAATTGAAGATAACTTTCTGGATAACGCTTAGAAAGCACTTCTATATCTTGCTGTCTGCATGGCAAACACGTATGCTTCATCCGTGTAGTTTTTTCTCCTGGGGTTAATAATTCTAATGGTTTCCATCCTCTAATGTCGCATGCATTTACTTTTACAAATTTTGGAGGATATCATGTGTGACAAAGATGCTAAAGCTGAAACAAAGTCATAGTTAAGAAGTGAATACCTGTATCATGGCTCCTGGAACATCATTTGTGCAATGGAATTCCAAGCAACTGATAACCAAATCTAACGAACTTCATGGTCAAATACAAAACATAACATTTAAAACCTGTTCTTCATGGTGACTAGTTTTCACAAGAACCAAATAGATGAAATCCACTTTCATATCTTTCTTTTATAGGTAGAAACTCCTCATCTCCCACCACAGAGGACGTTTCGATATTCTGATTTGAATCTTGTTGAGCAGCTTCAGCATCCTTACATAATTGAACCATGTCATTTGAAGGGTCCATCATGATAAGCTTTTCAATTGAACCTCTCATTTCTTAATACTACAGCATTCTAAACATTCTTAAAACCAAACAGTAGTCAAGAAGGTAACTAGTTACTACCTCCAAGCGATCCAACAAATTGTCAGCAACAGTATCATCACTTCACCTCATCAACCACGCAGCTCGGTCACGCTGCAGCCACCCCACAATCGGACCAATACCCAGAAGCAGATATACAATATCGAATTTGAAAACAAAAAAAAAAAACACAAAAAAATAGATACCAAAATGTTCAAATCATAAATTTACAGAGAGACTGGATTTTTAACTCTTTTCGTTTCAGTTCCCGATCGAAAATCTTGACCCTTGGACTTTGTGGCCCATCGATGGTGTTATTGTCAGTGTTTGTGCAATAAGAAATTGAGGGGATGAGAGTGTAGGTCTCTTTTGTTGCTCTTCTTCTTCCTCCTCTAAGGAGCAACTCTCATTTTCTTTAAAGTTTCTGATGTGTTCGGACTGAACTCCCATGTCACAGAGATGGGGTGCCTCTCATTTTCTCTTTAAAGTTTCAGAAGCTAATGTGGACAAGTCCTCTGACACAGGGACGGGGTGCCTCTCATTTTCTTTAAAGTTTCAGAAGCTAACGTGTATGGAATGAAGTCCTCTGACACAGGGACGGGGTGCCTCTCATTTTCCTTGAGTTGTAGAAGCTAATGTGGACTGAAGTCCTCTGACACGGAAACGGGGTGCCACTCATTTTCTTTAAAGTTTCAGAAGCTAACGTGTTTGGACAGAAGTCCTCTGACACGGACGGGGCCTCTCATTTCCTATAAGTTTCGGAAGCTAATGTATGTGGACTCCAGAAGCTTCATAAACCTCAATAAAAATCTGATTAATTTATTTTATATTTTTTTTATTTAATATATTAATATTAAAAATAAATTTTAATAAAAAAAAAAATATATTATTTTAATATATTTATAAATAAAAAATAATATTAATCTCTGTACTCAACTTTCTATTAAAATTTAGTTGATATTAAGAGCTTAATTTATATTTTAAAAAAATATTTTTTAAAAATATTTTTTTAATATTTTTTGATAATTTTTATATATTGATATCAAAATTAAATTTTAAAAAATAAAAAATATATTTTTATATAAAAATTATTTTTAAAAAATAATTATTACTAGAATGACTATCAACGATTAATAAAACTAAGAATTTAAATGAGTTTACTAATTTTCAAATGTTTCATTTAAATTCTCAAACTCTTCATATATTTCTGTTGTATATTTATGTTATATTTCTGTTGTATATTTGTGTTGTCATGAGAATATGCATAAGTTTTCGATCTATTAAACTATTAAATGGATAAAATTAAAGGTAAAAAAAATAAAAAATAAGTATGAATATTTCTAAGGAATATATTCAAGATAAATAAGCACAACATATGTCGGATGATCCAAGTTGATAAAATGTTTGCTAGTCAAGACTAACATGAGCTCATTGTATAAAATATTTTTTGTAAAATTTAAGATAGACTAACATGAGCTCATTATATAAAATATTTTTTGTAAAATTTAAGATAGAAATAATAAAGACAGACAAAGAAAGTATGAAGAATGCTTCCAAATAAATCATTAAACAATAAACACTAAAGGAGCCTTGTTACGCACTAAACACATTAATATCGGTTACAACTTGCATGAAATAGCAATCTCCTATGTTTGAATTTTAAAAAAAATCCTAATTTTTATATAATTAAATATTAAAAGAATAAAAATAAAAATGGATCCCACGACATCTGTTAGATGATCTCTAGGCTTGTGAAACGCCTACATGAGCTCATTATATGAAATAAATTTTCTAACATTGAGGATATAAAAAAATAAAAAGTAACAAAAAAAGTAGGGTGTATATTTCCAAAGAAATCACTAAACAATCAACACTAAAAGAGATCATATCATGAACTTATTGTGTAGATGCACAAAACACATTGGCATCGGCTATAACTTGCTTGTAATAGCAATTCCCTTGTGTTTGATTTTTTTTTATTTAAATCCTAATTTTCATATAATTGAAGATAAAAAAAATAAAAATCAGAGTAGTCATTTCCAAAAAACTCAGGGAACATATTTAAGACCGGTGTGCATGACATCCGCTGAAAGATCCAGGCTCATGAAATGCCCACACGAGCTTATTGTATGAAATAATTTTTCTTACTTTGAGGATAGAAAAGAATTAAAAGTAATAAAAAAAGTAAGGTGTAAGTTTTCAAAGAAATCACTAAACAATCAACACTAAAGGAGGTCATGTCATGAACTAATTGTGTAGATGCACAAAACATAGTGGCATCGGCTATGACTTGCATGTAATAGCAATCCCCCTTTTTTTTTTTTATTAAATCCTAATTTTCATATAATTAAAGATAAAAGGAATAAAAAATAGAGTGGACATTTCCAAGGAACTCAGGGAACATATTTAAGACCAGTGTCCACAATATCTGCTAGAAAATCTAAGCTCATGAAATGCCCACGGGTCAGACCTAACATGAGCTCATTAAAATAATTTTTGTACAATTTAGGATAGAAAAGAATAAAAACTAACACAGAAAGTAGGGTAGATATTTCTAAAGAAATCAATAAACAATCAATATTAAAGGAGGTCATATCGTGAACTCATTATGTAGAAACAATAAACACACTAACATTGACTATGACTTATATGAAAAAGCAATCCCCCTAGGTTTAATTTTTTTTTAAATCCTAATTTTCATATAATTAAAAATAAAATGAATAAAAATATGAGTAAAGATTTTCAAGGAATTCGGGGAACATATTCAAGATCATTGCGCGTAACATCTGCTAGATGATCCAGACTCATGAAAGGCCCTCATAAGCTTATTTTATAAAATAATTTTTCTGACATTAAAAATAAAAACTAACAAAGAAAGAAGGGTGTATGTTTCCAAAAAATCACAAAACAATAAACACTAAAGAAACTCTATTATGAACTAATTGTGTACATGCACTAAACATACTAACATCAACTACAACTTGCGTGTAATAGAAATCCCCCTGTTTTCAAGTTTTTTTATTAAATCCTAATTTTCATATAATTGTAGATAAAAAGGAAGTGGACATTTTCAAGGAACTCGAGGAACATATTCAAAACTAATGTGCACGACATCTGTTGGATGATCTAGCTCATGAAACTCCTGTATGAGCTCATTATGTAAAATAAATTTTCTAACATGAACTTATTATATAAAGGAACCAAACACACTAACTTCAACTACGACTTACGTGTAATAACAATCCCTTTTGTGTTTGAATTTTTTTTTTATATCCTAATTTTCATATAATTGAAGATAAAAAAAATAAAAATAAAGGTGGACATCTTTAAAGAACTCAAAGAACATATTTAAAACCAATGCGCATGACTTTCATCATATGATCCAGGCTTATGAAACGCCAGCATAAGCTCATTGTGTGAAATAATTTTTCTAACATTGAGGATAGAAAATGAATAAAAACTAGCAGAGAAATTAAGATATATGTTTCCAAAGAAATCACTGAATAATAAACATTAAAGAATGTTAAGCCAAGAATTCATTATGTAGATGCACTAAACACAATAACAGCAGCTACAACTTGCATGTAATAGCAATCCTCTTTTGTTCAATTTTTTTAATTAAATCCTAATTTTCATTTGAAGTTAACAAGAATAAAAATAAGTGAGACATTTTCAAGGAACTCAAGGAACATATTCAAGACTAATGTACATGACTTCCGCCGGATGATCCAAGCTCATGAAACGCCGACATGAGCTCATTATGTATTATGTAAAATAATTTCTCTAACATTAAGGATGAAAAGAATAAAAACTAACAAGGAAAGTAGGGTGTACGTTTCCA